ATTAATGTTAATTTAATAGCTAATTATTAAAACTCAATAGTAAATTAATGATAACAAAGTAGCAAATACATAATAGTATAATAGTAAATCATTAATAATTTAGTAGTAAATTATTGATAACTTAGTGATAAATCACTAATAACGCAATAGTAAAACATTGATAACTTAGTTGTAAATTAGTGATAATTTAGTTATAAATCAATGATAATTTAGTTGTAAATTAGTTAATTATTAATAATTTTATAGTAAATCATAAATAATATTATAATAAATTATTAATAACTTAATAGTAAATTATCAATAACTTAGTAATAAATCGTTTATAACTTAGCAATAAATCATTATAACTTAGTAATAAATCATGATAATTTAGTAATAAATCAGTGATAATATAATAGTAAGTGAGTAGTAACTTATTTGTTAATTAGTGATAATATTTTTTTTATACTTAAAGTTACTAATGATTGAACCTTGGTTACTAGAAAAAGAAAAGGATTAGGATAAACCTACCATGAACTTATTCATTAAAAAAATTTAGTAAAAATTTTCTAAATTTGAACAAAAAATAATGTTATATTATATAAAAAGAAAATTATCTCATATATTGTAATTAATTAATAAAATTAATAGAATATCATAAATAACTTAGTAGTAATTCAATGATAATTTAGTAGTAAATAATTGATAACTTAATAGCTAAATATTGAAAACTTAGTAATATATTAATGATAATTAGTAAATGCATAATAATATAATAGTAAATCACTAATAACGTAGTAATAAGTCATTTATAACTTAGTTGTATATCAATAATAATTTTGTAATAAATCATTGATAACTTCATAGTAAATTAGCTATAACTTTATAATAAATTATCAATAACTTAGTACTAAATCATCAATAACTTAATAGTAAATCATTTATAACTTAATAGTAAATCATTAATAATTTAATAATAAACCACTGATAACATAATAATGAATCAGTAATAAGTTAATTGTCAATTGATGATAAGGTTTTTTATATTTGATGTTTTTAGGGATTGAACTCCGGCTACAAGCAAGAGTGAAGTAAAAACTTAATAATAAATCAGAGTTATCTTAGTCATAATTTATTTATAACTAAATGCTAAATCGCTTATAATTTAGTTATAAATCAATGATAATAATAAATCAATAATAACTTATTAGTAAATCAATTTTAGCTTAGTAGTAAAGTCTGAATAACTTAATAGTAAATTATTCATATTTTAATAATAAATTAGTAATATAATTTAGTAGCAAATCATCGATAACATGTAATAGTAAATCATTACTAACTTAGTAGTTTTTTTTTTTTTTTGGTTAAATATTGACATAGAGCTATATTTTTTTAATATATCTAACATATTTAATTCATTTAAAATTTTATAGTAATTGCCATTTAATACTAAGGTATTGAGTTACAATATTTGTGGATATTTGTCACATATATAAATAATTAAAACAATATTCATGTATCAATTACTATAACAACATATTTTTATTAAAAAAAATCAAATTTTAAAGTGAAAATTTGGATAACTTTACCTATATTTGTATGTCATTGATTGTCTATTTGATAATATATTAATAGTAACTAGATTAATGTTTTATCTTTACTAAAATAAATTGTTGTGTTTTATGGTATCATTTATAACATTGATAGCAATTATACAAAAACTTATTGTCTTTAAAGATATTTTTAAAATGAAAGAGAAAATAATGAGTCTAAATTTATTGAAAAATACCATAAAAAAATTACCTATTAGTTATTTTCTCAAGTACATAATATTTTAAATTAAAATATATTATCTAATAACACTAATAGTAGTATGAATTCTATAAATTATAATTTTATAACAATATCATTTAAATGATGAATTTTTTGAATGACTTATACTTGATAAATAATTAAGTGTTCATTGAATAATGAAATTACTTCATTTTAATTAAAAAGAGTTCAAATATTAAAAATATATTGACTATCAATTTTTAAGTTTAAGATTTAAAACATAGTTTACCTTCAAAATATATCTTTTGATATTTGTCTAAAATAGATCATATCTTATTAATTTTAAAATTATGATATGTCATTATTTAACAAACAATAATAATATTGAACCAAAGTTAATTGAAAAAAGTATTTGAATATTTAAAGAACAACATAAAAAACTATTTGATTAGGATAAGGTATACCTTTAAGTAAAGTTTGTTATTTAAACTCTTAGTATAACATATTTTAATAAATTATGTATATTTAATAACGTTTTAAGAAATCATTATTTGATACTAAACGTAGTTTTAATCAATATCCCTTATAAATACATAAACAAACATCATTGATTATTACATCAAGATACTAATAATTTTTTATAACTTCACATCCTTTTTTTAGAATATGTTTAGAAATTAATATTTTTAATTAGTAAAATTCATATAAGTATGCATTTTTTACTATAAAATGAAATCACAAAATGATTTATATTACATAAATAAGTACATGTTAAAAACACAAGTTAGTAATGAAAAAAAAATTATATATTTACATTATTTCAAGTAACAAAAACTTTATAAAAATTTGGTTTCAAATAAAAAAAATGAATTTAAATTTTAAATAGCAAATAGATGAAAAGTAATAGTTTGGATGAGTTTGACAAAATCAATTGCATAAAAAATTTATGAAATTGAAAATAAAAATCCACTACTAAAAAAGCTTTAAAAAGTTCTAAAAGAAACATAAAATAGAGAAAAATAAAAAAATAAAATCTGATTTAATTGTGATAGAAGATAATCTTTTATAATTAAAAAAAATTTTAAAAAAAGAATGAAGATGATGACTTAACACTAAAAGACTTAAAAGAAAATTTTTAAAAAGAATCAAAATAAAGAAAGATTAAATATTTATTTTTATTAAAATTTTAATTTTAACTTTAATTTTTTGTTATATTTATTTTTTTAAACTTAAATTTATATTTTTAATTTAATTTAATACAATGATAATTATTTTAATTTTATTATTATAAAATATCAAAATTATTATATTATATTATAATTATAATTTGATTAATAATAACGTACATAACACGTGGAATAAAATTAGTATATATATATATTTTTTATTATTATTTTTTGCTTGTAGAAGCAATCCACAAAAATATAAACCAAACCACGCTAATGCATTGGGGCAAACCCAATCCTAAACCACGAAGTATAAAATTGGGATAATGAGGACCCTTACTCTAAAAAATGGAGTCATGTTGCAGTTGTGTCATTATATTTATGTTCCATTTCAGACAACTGCTGATTTTTGTAATCAATCTCATGTATGAGATTCCCAACAAGCCTACGCTCTTTCTTTACCTCCTCCTCGTAGTTATGTCTCTCCATTTCAATTGAAGATTAAAGTGCTTGCAATATCAATCAAACGAATGGATTAGATTAGACTCTGAAGACACTGATTAACACTGCTCTGATTGGAAATTTCAGACCTTAGAGCTATCTTCAAAAATTAAACAACAGCATACGAAGCAAAGACATCTCATTACAAGAATTCAAACTCAGAAGTTTCAACTTAAATCTTGAGATTAAAGGTGGGATTTATGGGATATGAAATGCTTAATTTCCATATGAAAAAAATAATAAAAAGTGAAGAAAAACAATCACTTTGGAACTGAAAAGCATACATGTTTTCTAGTGCAAAAATTAATGTGATACTTTGGAGCTGAAAAAGCATGAAGAACAAACTGATTATTTGGTACAAACATCAAAAACCCAATAAAAGAGAAGAAAGGCATACCTTTAGGAAAGTAGGAATGGCTGAGGTCTAAGGCATATACAAAAAAATATGTATTTTTTTCTCTTGCGCAAGTGAAATGTGGCCATTTTTGTTAACATGGAAACTTCAAAAGTAAATAAGTAAATAAAGAATCTTACAAATTCAACAAAAATGGCAAACATGAGAGAAAACAAAATTGTTAAAATTTACAAAATCTTGGGTTGAAAATGGGTTTAACCTCCTCTTTCTTCCTCTTTTTGCTGTAGAGTTAGAAGGATTTAACCTCGTCAAAGTTCAGGTTTTTGTTTTTTTTTGCAAGCAAATGCAGCTCCAAGAGGCAACAAGCATAGAAGCTATGTTTTTGGTACGGCAAAAGAACATAATAAAAGGGTGGCACTGGTACTACAATTAAATGTGTAATCGAACCATGTTGAGTCGATACAGTAAGAAATTTGAGATCGAATTCGACTCACAACTCGCGACTCGATATTCGGTTCGAACTCGATCGAGTTTTATTTTTTAAGCTCGAGCTCGATTCGTGATCGAATTTGAGTTACTCGAGCTCGCTCGATTAAGCTCAATTAATATGTAAAAATAAGCTCGATTCGTATACTCGACAAGAGTTCGATTATTTATGCTTGAGTTCGAACTCGAATTCGAAATATTTTATTAATTAAAATAATAAATATGTATTTAAATATAAAAGTTCGATTAGGCTCGCGAGCTATTCGAATCAGATATAAGAATACTCGAATTCGACTCGATCGATAAGTTGAGCTATTCAAGCTCGAGCTCGACTCAATAATAATCGAACCGAATTTGATTTTTTTTCGAACCGAACTCGAATAAATTACGAGTACTAATATATCATTTACACCCCTAACTACAATTACAGCCAAGTGGCATTGTTGGAAATGACCAAGATATCAACGATGACACGTGGCTGCTTTTCAAGTCATGTGGATATTTGGATGGACTCACTTTATGGGCCAACTGTATTCTTTTTTTTTCTTTTTCCTTTGTGTTTGTTTCTCGAGAAAGGAGAGGGTGGCATCTGTTATCTGTTTTTGTTTCCTTTCTCTTAAATACCTTGATTTTGTCAGAGGTAGCAACAATTGGTGCCAAAAATGCTGTATGTTCCAAGCATTATTGTCATCACTTTATCAAGTTCTTTCATGGAAGCAAAATCAATAAATGACTTTTCGTTTTGTGATTTTCTTAGTGTTATTGTTGTCAATTAAATAAGCCATTTTCTTAGTACGAAAGTAGTCAATTAAAAAATATGAAATAAGGCTCCAAATGCCATGAATTTGCCTTATTGATGAACTTGATATTCGTTTAGAATAAGTAAATTGAAGGCACCTCTTTTCCTTTTGCTCAAACTGTCAAAATCATAGTGCTTTGGAAATGGAAAATGGTTTCATTTCATTCTAATCTGGATGCCAATTGCCAATCATTCCCACAAAAACCCACACCAAAATGAAAAGAACACGATTCCTTTGTTGTTTAAATACAAATTGATGTATCGTGTTCATACAAACTCTTTCCAATGGCAATAAGCATTAGAATTTCCAATTAGAAAGACAAATACTTGAAATTTTGGTCATATGAACCTCTTTCGAAGAAAATTTTGATTCAAGGATGGGAAACCTTTTCCTTCCCAGTACATATTGGTTCGTGCAAAATCTCAACATGCTGTAGCTTCCCTGGAAGTTCCATTAAAAAAAGAAGAAAAAAAAGGAGGAGTAAGACAAGAGGATGAATGCTCAACCATAACAGAAATATCCCAATTTGAATCTTCTTTCAGGTCCTTTCTATTCAAATTCATTCCTCAATGGTACCAAATTCCAATTCACCCAGCAGCACTTAGTACTTCAGTTCTGGTAAATAAATCAGAAGATCAGCACCGATGGCTAACAAATTTCTTTAGTATTATGTATAGAAATTCTAGTTAAGATCATATTGTACAAATGCAAAACTTTATTGAATAGAAAGAAAAATCAAAGTGATGGATTACAAAGTGAAAAGAGATAAAAAAAAAGTTTAATTTCTACTCAAAAGCCTAAATATTCAGCATTCATCAAGCACATATTTTGCAGCAAGCACCTTACAGTTTAATCATAAAAAAGATCTCTTCTTTTTTGTCAAAACCACAATTTTCCAATCTCAGCCAACCATGATTTTCAAGAGAAATTATTCAATCAATGATTCGACAACCCAATTATAAAGATATCACCTATGAACAAATTTTAACTCCGAAAATGAAATGCTCCTTTAAACATAAATACAAGTGGTTAATCTTTACTACCAAGTGCCAAATATCAAAGTTCTATAGTTATATGGAACTACAATGGAAAAACCAGAAGCTAATTCAGCAAACTCTGACAGCAAAAACTAGCTCAATTCTAAATAATAGGTATTTAGGTATTCACTGTTCAAGAGAGTAAAACAGAGTAAACCCAGACGAAAACTCTAAATTGCAATCTGAAGTTAGAAAAACCCATGAAGCTGAACATCAGACCAAGCATAAAAATACGAAGAGAATGAGAAAGAGATGGAAACAAACCTGTAAAACTTGTAAACTTTCATGGAAAAATATCAGAAAAAAGCTGAAATGAGCAAAACCCATGAATATTAACATCAAACTAAGTATAAAAATACAAAGAAAACAGCAAAACAGAGGGAAGCAGACCTGCAAAATTCAGGGAATAAGCACAAACCATGAAGATGAATATCAAACTAAGCACAAAAATACAAAGAAAACAGAGAAACAGAAGGAAGCAGACCTGCAAAAATTGAGGGAAAAAGTTTAAAAAGCAAAAATTCAGGAAAAAAGTTTGAAAACAGATCTAAATTGCAATCTGAAGTTAGAAAAACCCATGAAGCTGAACATCAGACCAAGCATAAAAATGCAAAGAGAACGAGAAAGAGATGGAAACAAACCTGCAAAACTTGTAAAATTTCAGGGAAAAAAATCAGAAAAAAGCTGAAATGAGCAAAGCCATGAATATTAACATCAAACTAAGCATAACCCATGAATATGAACATCAAATTAAGCATAAAAATACAAAGAAAACATAGAAAGAGAGGGAAGCAGACCTGCAAAAATTCAGGGACTAAGAACAACCCATGAAGATGAACGTCAAACTAAGCATAAAAATACAAAAAAAAAAAAACAGAGAAAGAGAGGGAGCAGGCCTGCAAAAATTCAGAAAAAAAAAAATTGGACCATTTCTCGATTTGTGCGTGTCATCCTTGCGCAGGGGCCATGCTAATCTTCTCTGTATCGTTCCAATTTTATCGGATGTCCCCGAAGGGACAGCCATGGTCAAATGCTTTCTGCTATATTTGTTTGAATGATTGCATAACCCAATTATAAATAGATTCCCTATTGATAAAATTTTAACTCTTGACTATCAAAGGACCCTTTAAAGTTGAAACATAAACAAGTACATGTAGGTGATGTACTCTCTTCTACCAACTGCCAAAAAATTTCGGAGCTATATTGAACTTACAATGTGAAAAGAAGAAACTAATTCAGCAAACTCTGACAGCAAGAACTATCTAAAATCTGAATAATAGATATTGAGGTTTTCACTGTTTAAGAGAGTAAAATAGATTAAACTCAGGGAAAAAACTTAGAATGGCAATCTGAAGTGAGCAAAACCCATGAAGATGAACATCAAACTAAGCATAAAAATGCAAAATTCACTGTTTAAGAGAGTAAAACAGACCAAACCTAGCACAACACTCTAAATTACAATCTGAAGTGAGCAAAACCCATGAAGACGAATATCAAACTAATCATAAAAACGTAAAGAAAATAGAGAAAGAGATGGAAACTGACATGCAAAAATTCAGGTCAGGGCAAAAGTTGAAAAAATTTTTGGCACAACATTCTAAATTGCAATCTGAAGTGAGCAAAACTCATGAAGATGAACATCAAACTAAGCATAAAAATTCAGGTCAGGGCAAAAGTTGAAAAAAAATTTGGCACAACATTCTAAATTGCAATCTGAAGTGAGCAAAACTCATGAAGATGAACATCAAACTAAGCATAAAAATGGAAAGAAAACAGAGAAAGAGATGGAAACTGATCTGCAAAAATTAAGAAGAAAACAGAAAAAGAGATGGAAACTGATCTCCAAAAATTCAGGTCAGGGAAAAAAGTTGGAAAAAAATTTGGACCATTTCTCGATTTGTGCGTGTCATCCTTGCGCAGGGGCCATGCTAATCTTCTCTGTATCGTTCCAATTTTATCGGATGTCCCCGAAGGGACGAGAAGAGTAAACTTCTTTCTCATATATAAAAGCTTTTAATATTCTATTCCTAATCAATATGGGATATGTGGTTGGTTTCCAACTAAAAGTTTAGTCAACTAGTTCAAGTCATAGTGAGTAAAGCCCAACACGTGGGCTGGTTGAGTCTTTTCCGGGTGGCAGTACTGCATGGTCTTTTGGTAATGGGACACTTTCAATTCATCTAAAAACCCACATGTGATCTGTTGAAATGTATCAATCTGATGAACGGGACCGAGTACAAGACATCAATCCCAGCCGAAATAAATTTTACTGATTGAGGCGGGAAAATTTCATAGTTGTATTAACGTTAAAAAGTTAAAAACAAATCAAAATAACCTTTACTCCACGGTTGAGATTGGCTTGGGTTTCAATTCAGTTTGATTAATTCATTTTTACATAATTACAACTTCAAATATTGGGTTGATTTCAGAAGTAGCAATTGTGAAATACTAAAGGCCAAGCACAGATGGCTATGTCACCTTGTTTATGAGATTTTTGGGTCTTTAATTCCTGGATGATGCACTCAACTGCCTCTTTCAGGCTGGCTTTTCTTCCCTCTTTGAAGTTCCCAAGCTCGAGAACTATGTATCTCCCACTTCCATTGTAGTCATTCATTTCCAGCAATGCATTCGATACAGCCTTGCAAACCTCATCACCCCACTCACTTCTCAATTCCTTCAACATAATGTCTTCACAGTAGATAGTTTCCTACAGAACATACAAATGGATTCAGTACATGAAAAATGAGAATCAAATTCTGCACATTAAGCATGGAGATCTCTAGCATATCATTAATCATTTCTTCATGTTATCACATCAAGTTCACTAGTTCATCCGAGCCATATATGGTTCATACCAATTTTTATGTAATCATACTGCGAATTAATGCATCATTTATAACAGGACTTGTGTTCATATGCTTGAAGATGATTGATGGGAATTCAGCTGCATTCAAATATAGTTCCCAGCATTAAGGATTCAACAACATATGAGCAATTTAGGGAAGAACCATTTGCAGTGGCATATAATTGACACAAGTTTGCCTAGTTCATAAAATCCATGCTGGCTGCAGCGACAATTAAAGTCCCTAAAGGTATATGAATCTCTTAGGCAAAGAAAAAACACCTAATACTTCCCATCTATTAGCTCCCTCTTGAAAGGATACTACTCTGGATTTGTAACAAGGCTCTGCCATAACGAGCATAATTCAGTGGAGTTCAGCTCCCAATCTCCAGAGAACTTCCTCATGCATGCATCTTTAAAAGGTCTGGGATCAACCTCTCCCATCCTTTTAATTTCAATCTTGGTTTGAGAACTCCAAAAGTCCTGCAAACCCGACATTCCAGTAACATGAAATCAGTTCATCAATAATTTGGTGCAACTGGAATTTGACATAAGGCAAATAGTGTGGGTCAGCTTATCAATGTATAAGATGAACTCTTACATTTATCAATTCTTTGCGAGCAGGCTGCAGCTAAAGGTTACTTATATGCTCTTTAAGTATAAGAGTTTGGTTTAAGTTATCCAAACATTGCAATTCATCCACCTTTTCATCCAACTCTTTTTTCAAATCATCAAGCTGAACAATCAGTGCATAGTCACTGTTCATTGAGCTTTGAGCTTTCAACTGCAAGAGAGTTAATGGATCAGTTTAACTTGTCACTAAGAAGAGGAAAAGAATAACCATAATTAAACAAAAATACTAGGATTTGATGCGAAATAGATCATGTTACATAGAATTTCAAATATTTTCATTCCAGAGTGAGCAAATACGACAGTAGCTTGATTTCTTATCAGTATATTTACTGTTAGCCTCTTTACCTTATCCTCTCGAAGCATTAGATTTTTTAGCTCTTGGTCATGTTGAGCCTCTTGCTTATCCAATCTTTCAACTGTCATCTCAAGCTCATTCCTCAAAGACTCGAATTCCTGATGCAGCTTTTCACTATTTTGGCTAGCCAACTTGCTCTTCCTCTGTTCTGATAACACATAAAATTACATATAAACAAGATGTCTTAAATATCCAACCAATATGTAAAGGAATCTGAGTTAGTATTAGAATTTCAATTCTCAACCACATACAGTGAAGAATCAAAGGATGCAAAAAGGCACAGGTAGACTACAGTGAAGTGAGAGATCCACCACTAATCTCATTTCATACGTTGTATATGTTATGCACAAAGATTGGGCAGCTTGTTCCTAAGAGGCTTAGAATTAGATTAAAAATTTGCAGTTTATCTGAACATTTACCATGATAACAGTTTAAACCAACATTCACAGATTTAGAGCCATCCTAACTATCTTGAGCCTATCATCCTCACATATGTTCATTACATGATTTTGTAACTATCAGCAGTCATAAATTGTTACAACCAAAAAGCAATTGAAATCCAAAACATGATTTATTAACCTTCAATCACACTGACTCTGGCCTATACATGCCATTACCCTAATGATAATCAATTGTTTGAAAAGACCCTCTTTACCATGTGCTCTTAAGATTCAACTTTCAACCCTTAGGTCAAGTATACCATGCTAGCCAACTATTAAAAACTCAAGTCTCCTTCTGGTCATTACTTTTTGCTACTTGCCTTTTACATCCTAAAAGATCACTACATAGAAAAATAAAAAACATACCATCAACAACAACATAGTAATTAGTACATGTAAAAATAGGACCATGCATTTTTTTTTTCCGAAAATTACATTTGAAACATTGAATTCTTGAAAATATGTATATATATATATATATATTTTTTTTGCTTCTAGAAGCAGTCCACAAAAATAGAAACCAAACCAAGATAATGCAATGGGGCCAAACCAAATCCTAAAAACCAATTCAGGAAGTATAATATTGAGATAATGGGGACCCTTTACTCTAAAAAATGAAGGAGTCATGTTGACGTTCAAAACTGATCAGTTAACCTTCAATATATTCTTGATGTAGCCTTGTTTGTTCTGCCTTCATTTTACTAAGAGCTTCAGAAACCTCATCCAACTTGAATTCCATTTCTAACAATTTTCCACTTTCAACATCAATCTCCTTAGCAGGGCTGACAACAAGATTCCTAGCTCTTTGTAATTCTTCAAGAACATCTTGGTTGTCCATTTAAACCTACAATGTGGTCAGATCAGTTTTTAAAAGAAACTAAAGTTATAAATTAAAAAAAAAAAAAAACCGTTTACTTTAGAATTGAAATAGTCATGTCAATTCCAAGGAACCTTTTTTTGGCTTTCTTTCTTCTTCAATAATCAAGGCTAAGTTTTTTTTTTTTTTTTTCATTTTTGTTTTGGAATTGTTAAGTGAAGAAAGAGAGAATAAGGGAAAATGCATGCGAAAAAAAAAGTTGAAGCCTTGAAATAAAATTAAACTAAAAAATAAATAAAAGACTTGCCTTGATGGAGAAGACGAGTCGAAAGGGCCAGAGACTCGAGTGCTTTTTTTTTTTTTAATGCAGGAAATAACCGTGAGGGGCTGAGGATTCGGGTTGACCCGGCCCAAGTGAAATGATCTAATAGACTAATACTCTAATTAATTAATTATGTTTTATTTTATTAAAAACAAGAAATGTAGAACTAAGAAAAAGAATTTTTTTATGAAGAATTGAAAATGTTGATGACTTTTTATAATATTAGAAAAACCTCCCAAACAAATTATTTTTTTAAGTATAAATTAATATGTTTTGAAAATAATTATTTTAAATTATTTATTTTTTCTTTTATAGGTTGTTTGATTTTTTTTATTGAAAGATCCAAATATTTTCATTTCCTTTTAAAATATAAATTAGTTTGTTGTAATGCATGAATTATTTTTATTTTATTTAAATTTAAATAAAAATATAAATTAATATTATTAAATTATTTATATATTCAAAATATATGTGACATATAAATAATATAATTAAAATATTAATTCATCATAAAAATAAAGTTTTCTTTTTAAATTCTGTTGAAGGCTATAAGAAATTCTCTATTTTATAATTGCACAGTTATCATAGGATTCATATCTTTTTTTTTTAGAATCTTGGTGAAATTTTTATAGTTCTAAATTTTTTTAAAGTAAGATATATATGAACTTGAAATTAATATTACTGATGAAATTATCTCTGAATTATTTTTTAAAATTTTTATTTTTTATGAAAAATAATATCTTAATTTAAAATTATGTTACATATTTCACAATGGGATATGAATTAAAAAATTATTCACTTTTTGAATGTAGAACTGGCACATAAGTTTATGTTTAGGACATATAACTCTATTATATCAATTAATCAGAACATTATTTTTATTTTATACGAATAAAAAATATTGAATAAATAAAAAATATATTACTTAATTGAGTAAATAATCCACGAAAAAAAAAAGCTTACAAATAATACAGATAAAAATATAAAAATATATTTGTTTTTGTCGTTTTAGTAGGTTTTAAAAAAATATTACAACTAAAAAAATTACGACTTATTTAAAAAAAAATCTTACCTAATAAAGTGAATAGTATATTTAATGAAATAGTACTTCCTACCTAATTGAGTGAATTGTATATTTAATGAAATAATACCTATTATAAAAAAAAATGTTAATTTAAACTAATAAAAAACTAAATTAATAGTACAAAAAAATACGTTTATCTTAATGGGACATTGAGAAAGTTATATAACTAAAAACTACCAATAATAAAGGCTCTCTTAAAGTTGTTATACTATATTATATATATATATATTCACATTTATTTTATGAAATATATTTAAAAGTTGAAGATAATTCAAGAATTATTTATAAAAAATATTAAAGATATTAAATAATATTTTTAAAGTTGTGATAAATTTAAATACACATATTAACGGTCGATAAATTTAAAAAAATAAATTATTTTAAAATTTATTTTAAATTGAGAAAGTATCAATAAAAACTTGATGTTATATGAAATTTTTTTGAAGTTGTTTTGGTATTTATATATTTTTAAACATTTTCTTTGTGAAATTATTTAAAAGTTTATGAAATATTATTTATAAAATAAAAATCTATAAAAAATATTTATTATTTAAGATAATAATAATAAATTTAAAATGATTTTGTGATAATTATTTAAAAACTGTTGTTATAATTTTTTAACTAAATATAAAAATAAATATATAAATTATTTAAAAAATTTGATTTAAAATATTTTTAAATTGTGATAGATAATTTTGATTGTACTAATAGAAAAATTTCATTAAATTTTAATTAATAATTTGATTAAATAAATTTTATAATATTAAATAAATTTTAAAATATATTTTTTATAAATAATTTAAAATTAATAAATATATTATACGTCATTGTAACGAGAAGTTTTAAAAATGATCTAAGTACAAAAGAACGTGTAAGCATCTCCAATAGTAATTGTTATCTAGTTAGTAATTATATATGTTATAATATAATATATATATATATATATATATGATTTACAACATTAATAAGTATTCTTAACGGCAATTTTTTTATAAAAAGAAATATTGTAAACAAAAATATATTTAAAAGAATAAATTCCAATAAAAGAACAGGTCATGAAAGTTGAAAATCATAAAAAAAAAAGATTTTTTAAAACTATTGTTACATATACAAAAGATTAAAAATTATATTAGCCTCACATATTCTACTTTATTGCTAAAACCTAAAAGCCCAAAAAGCTTGAAGTCCATTTTTATTAACGTCAAGACAAAAATAAAATAAAATAAAATTAATGTTGAAAAAAATGTAAAGAAATGTAAACTTTTGAACTTTATAAATTGTAAACAATACTTTTTAGTAAAATTTTTCATTTTATTTTTAGTAATGAGAAAATTTAACAATGAAATCCTAAATGTGCTTTATATCACACTAATCTTTATAACTCGACAAAAGCAGCCATGAAAATCCTGGAGCTTAAACTTACAGCAATACAGCACACATTTGAACAAGAACAATGTCCCTGTTTGAAAGCCTACATTAATCATGTCCTCAATGGCTTAGATAAAGTTCAAACGTTTTGCCTGAAGACAATATTAGGTAAACATGTCTTACATCAGCATCATTTTCGACATGTCCATAAGCCTGAATTCTACATGTTAACATGAATGCAGTTTCTTCCCAATAAGGTGTTGTACCCTGGGAGCTGAAAATTGATTAACATGGAATTCAATGATATAGAAATAAATAATAATTCAGACAGCATAAAACACTACAAAGCTAATTCGATATTCCGGACTCGAGCTGCATCTTTTGCTTCTTCAAGGATACTGATCCTTATAGGTAGTCAGCAAATTATTTCCTGTGAAAAAAATAAAAATGGTCAGTGATTCATCTTAGAAAAATCATCTCCAGGAAATTTGATTCCTTTCAACAACAACTACCTGAAAAATAAATTAGTGAACTTCAGATCATTCCGCGCTTGCGTTTCGCGTTGTTCCAAAGCTTCAGTAAAAATATGACACCCTCTTGCAGTGTTGCCTTTCTTCCTTCTCCATAATTCCATAACTCTGAAATTATGTACCTTCCACTCGGGTTGTATTCGTTTATTTCCTTTATAGCCGAAGTGACTGCCTTGTACACTTCATTACCCAACTCATACTTCAAATCTCTCAACTTTTCATCATCATCGTTGATCACTTCCTGAACCACCATAATTGAACTTTGAATGAATCATTTGACAGTAATACGAAAGCAATGGAACAAGGAACAAGCAAGAAGTGGTTCACAAGAAAAGCATATGGACAAGTAAAAAAATAAAAAAAGCCAGGAATAAAGGAGAACTTGAAATTTATTATCTTGCAGATTCTACAAGAACTAAATTGAGATATTCAACTATCATAATGCATAATTATGTACATAGAGCATATATACATTTTAGGCAGGCACCCTCCACCAAGCCAACAACCAGCAAAGATAACACTTATTGCCAGCTAACCTAAACTGTGAATGCAGGTAAGAGGTGAACCTTGAAGCATGCAATCGGACCATGCCAGGAAATTTGCACCTAACTAGATTACATAAAAGAATTGCTTCACTAGGAGAATATATATAAATATATACATACATAAATATATAAATATATATATATATATGTATAACTAGCTGAAGCAATGATTAAATGGAACGGCTGGAGGTGAAAGGTTTATCCAGTTCTATGTTTTACAAATTTCTGAGGACAAACAAAAAACTAATGAGTCATACTGACCAGAAAATGGGGAATCATAGGAACGGCAACGCCAGCTGTTCCAAATTAAGATTATATAAGTTTTATTCAAGGCAAGCTTCCTGGGAGATCTAAGCTCATACAAGTTTTTACAATAGAGGAGGAAGGGAGAACTGCAACTTCACAACTACCATGAAGTACACTCACTCACACAAGTGTATTCCTAATCATGTTCTACAAAAGGATCCATACCTAGCATAAAAAAACCAGGACATATATATGACATCTATGCAAACTAACATAATTTATCAAGCAACAGCGCTAAGTTTGAGAAAGAGGAAGAAAGGGGGAATTAGCAGCACGAATTTCATGAGAGTCATGAAATGAAGACCTGATATTCCTCGTCTCCTTCAAGTTTAATGCGTTTAAAAGGATGCCAGTCTGGATCCTTCAGAAATTCCTCCCACAATGAGCACAGTTCTGATGCTCTCTCCTCTGCTAGATCTTCATTATACCTTCTCTTCATTGCTTCAAGGAATGGTTTACTGTCAAGTTCTCCCATTCTCTTGACACCGATGTGTGCACGACTGGATATTTCTTTTAATCCCTACAAAGTGAATGAATTAGCGCTTCCTGAATCCTGACTACCGAGAGAAGCGTGTGATGAGCACACAAAAGGCTGAAGCATAAATTTTCAGAAATTATATTATAAGGACCACAAAATAGTTCACAAATCAATTTGCAGTCATAAACCTGAAAATTTCGGTATAAACAGTTGTTAATTAACCAAATATGAAAATTTCTTCTTAAGCCTCAGAAAGTCAGCAGACCAGCACTTTTTAACAATCACGAGTCTGACCCATGTTTCATCTTATAAAAGGCAAGGAAAGAGAATTGCAGTATTCCTGGTAAAAACCATTTAAACAATTAAACCACCTTGCTCTTGATAAAAT